TGATTTATTGATGCTCAACTTTAAGTGCCCCTTGCAGAGATAGTGAAGAGTTCCATGTTAATACTCAGGATTTTTTCCAATTCTGTCATGTCATATCAGTTCCTTGGGCTACTAAGGCAACATTGTCAGCATACATGTATTGCTTAGATGTATGTGGGAAGTCTGAGGTATATACATTGAAAAGTACTGGTGCTAGCACTGACCCTTGAGGGGCTCCATTCTTCAGAGTGTGTACTCTGTTTATTTCTCCTTGGCTAGTGATGAGTTTAAATGATCTGCTGGAGATGATGTTCATGATGAAAGCGTGTAGCTTGTAGTTGGGTATCATAGAGTGCAGTTTATATTTGAGGCCTTGGTGCCATACAGCATCATAGGCAGCTGTAAGGTCAATAAAGACTGCGTTTGTTTTCTGCCTTATTTCAAGTTGATTTTCTATGTCAGATGTAAGTAATGTAACTTGGTCAGTGGTGCATCACTTTTTCTTCTCATATTTTCTCCTGGCATAAGCCAAAAATTATACAGTATTTGGTGCTGGCATTGTCTTTCTTACATAGTAACACAATATGATGACAGCCACTCAGTGTTACCACAATGGGTACAAGAAGTAACTACAACAACATTCATAAGTGGTTATCAGCTCTTCTTTTTTAAATCTGGGTACAGATGTATACCAGTATACAAATTTATGGTTAGTTACATGTATAGAAGATTTTTCAGGGACATTTGCAATGGTCTGCACCACAACATCCGGGAGTCCTATATTACACTCCTGCTATTACTCCTAAACACATTGAAGCCTCAGGATACAATGTGCTGTCATGTTTATGATGATCCTTATGGCAAAACTGAATTTACTGCAGTAGCCATTCACCAACTATGCTTTTAATATATAAACACCTCCCATGTGAAGCAATAACTAGAACAAATTATGTATATAGAACATGATGGGTATGTGTCATACTTCCTGAGTCTGGCCAGTGATGAAAAAAAATATGTAATGGTGTTTACAACTTTTGAATTGATGGCTATGAATGACAGAGAGACAGGAAGGGGACTGCTTTTTTGAACTGTGAAAACCTGAAATTTCCAATATGTTCTTGTTTTACATTGGGACAAAGTTAAAACATTTCTTTCTCTTTGAAAAAGAAGGAAAACAAGAGATCTAAGGACACACTAGTGATTACAGCGCTTGTTTGGAATGGGGTAGTCCTAGTTTCAGGGTTCTCATTTGCCCTCAACAGAGCAGAGATTTGACCTAGAGTTTTCTACATGCCAGATAAATGCCCTAATCGTTGGGCTGTTGGCTAATCTGGAATAGGTGTTGGTGAGTTGTTGCTCTCTCTAGTTGGAATAGGTGTGGGTGAGTTGTGATCTCTCTAGCTAGAAGTCTTCCACTTTCTGATATAATTATTTACAGAGACAGAGGCTGAATCCATACCCCATTAGTCACAATACTCATTTGAATGGTGGAAGAGTGAGGTTCAAGGATGTTCTTGTAAAATGTTTTAATGTCAGTGAATCAACATTTTTCCAACTCAAAGGGTTTTAGCTTTCTCCTTTCTTCAGGAGAGAAAAAAATCCAAAAACTTACAAAGAAATTTGCAGGAAAGAATGAGAAGATGGGGAAGGCAGGGAGCACCTCAACTCAGCAACAACTCAAGCCTCTTTGTCTACTGAGCTACCTTCATCTGACTAATCACCTGGGATCTGGGTTTTCCATTTCCCACAGAAAAAACAGAGTAAAACGCGGGTTTCTCTCCTTACCATAGTAAAATGCAGATTTCTCATTTTAGAGGAGAAACCCATGGATTTTGCAGTTTTGGAACGATCCCTCTGCAGGCTGGCAGAGTCCCAACCTGCAGGGAGGGAGCGGGAGAAGGGTTATCAGGCAGGGGGTGTCATGTTCATGTACATGGACATGGCCACCAGGCAGCCTGGAGAACAGGTCCAGGAGGTAAGTTGGGGGGGGGCTGGAATTGGGGCCCCCTTAGGAAGGGAGGCAGGGAGTTGGGCAGTGTTGGGGCTGCTGCCCACCCGGGCAGTGCATGGGGCATTGGGGCTGCAATGCATGGCCACAGGCTCCTGGCAGGAAGTGGGAAGGGGCCATGGGCAGCTTGTCCAGGTGGTGGGGGAGGGGCCGGCTCCCTGCCGCCAGGGGGCGGGGGGGGCACCTGTGCCCCCAGATCTGTGCATAGGGTAGGGGGGGTGGGCTGCCCTCTATAGGCTCTGGCTCCCACTGTGCTGCCCTCTCCCAGGGCCTCTGCAGCCCAGCGGGTGTGACCCAACACTGGAGGGCAGAGTGGGGTCACACAGGAAAACTGTTTGCCACTGTAAGCTCCTCCCTGCCCTGGCAACGCATCCCCTGCACATGGGACTGCAGTGGGGGTGGTGGCGCGCAGTTGTGCCCCTCATTGCAACTGTGCACAGGGGACACATCGCCAGAGCAGCGGGGAGCTTGCAGCATCAATGAGATCCGTGTGCGGCCCCACTGTTCTCTGCAGTACCGGGTTGCTCCTGCCAGACTGTGGAGGCCCTGAGGGATTGCAGCAGGGTGGGAGCCTGAGCCCTCAGCATGTACCCATCCCCACCCTGCACACAGATCTGGGGGGCACAGGCCCCCCCCACTTGTCCACTCCCAGGAGTGTGTGCAGCTGTAGGGATCTGCCTACCACCCTCTCCCCTGGCCTGAGCACACAGCAGGCAGACAGCAGGGGGAGCTGGGCTCTGCTCTGCTGTAGCAGCCGCTGCCTTCTGTTGGGGGCAGGGGGCTATGGACCCAGGTCCCTGGCCCCATAGCCCTGGCAGCTGCAGGTCCCTCTGGCAGGGCTGGGGGTGAGGGGCACCAGCAGGGTTGGGAGGAGGGGTGAGGGGCACCAGCAGGGCCAGGGGGCTGTCAGGGGGCCTTTAATTTTAATCATGGATTGTGGGGGTTTTATCAGAGAATTTGAATTTTTTATCAGGGAAAACCAGGATCCCTGGTAATCACTCATAACCCCAATACTCCCTTCTGCAATTTCCTTTTCCTTTTATACATTCCCAGGTTGTTTTCCTGAAAATCTAATGAGGTTCTAGGTGCTTCTGAACTCCATTAGATAACTTTGCTTGCATAAAAAGAAACTTGGCTTAGGTTCCTAAGCTTTTCTATTCTGGATTTCTTTGTACAGTCTAGCACCCCAGACATATATTAACCCACTAACCTACCTGCATCTGTGGATGACTCCCCAAAACATTAGACAATATTATGTCTAATGAAATAATAGATTAATATCATATCAGTGTGAAAAGACCATACATACTAAAGCATGAAGTAACACTGGTAAGCCACTTGATATAATAAACTATCATACTGCAGATGGAAATAATATCCTTAGGAAACAGTGAACTGGATACTGATCAGCTATTTCTCATAGCAGCATGCAAAAGCACCACACTTTGTGTTACTGGTATTCCCTATTGATACAGAGCAGGGATCACAAAGGTGAACAAAATAAGTATAAAACTCTAATATGCCATTACCACAGTGTGCCTATTCACATATATCAGATTGGCCACAGCAGCTTTTGATTTATGTTATGTAAAATTATTTATATTTTTCTGCATCGTTTTTCCTGTGTGGATTAGAACCTCTTCAATTTGCACTTTAGTGAACTGCAGACTTTATGATCTATGTACCAGTTGTGTTCTCCTATCTTTCAAACAAATAACAGCAGATGCTGTGAAGAATTTTCACAATAAGAATAATTTTTTTAACACAGTATATTTCAGCATAGTAGCTAGTAGACTATGAAATATTGTCACTGATTTTAAACTGCACCTGAAAAAATAAATGAACGAAGAACATTTTCTCATGCATTACCCTTACACTTTTCATTTATGCTTGTTCCCAGTTATGTGAATTAGCAGGATTCTACTGGATCTTTTTTGTTGTGAAGAGCCATATAGTGAATGTAAATGTCACTACATTCTTTGCTACTGCAAGACAAGGATATACATGATTTGTACCCAACAGATATCTCCATTTGAAAAGCCCAGCCTCATCGCAAGCACAGTGAACTACAGCCAGGCCTTCTTCCACAATTTCCAATGCTCACCTCAGGTTACAGCAGTTTATGTAAAATGAGATGTCAACTGGTGTTGTGACATGGGATCCCCACCTGGTCAACAGTCAGTTTTACTAACCATGCTAGCACTAACCTTCAATACTTAGAAATGAATTCTGGTCACAGTATTGAATTGCTTTAGACCAGAGTCTCTGCTCACATGTCTTTCAACAGGAAAGCCATGGATGCATGGAGGCAAAGCTATAACAAAACAGTGGATGAGGAACAGTGGATGAGGGATGTGTCAAAAATTATAAAATCCTTTTCCTGCCTCCCACAGCATTGATAGGATGGTAGACACATATAGAGACATGTCACCAATACTGGATGTAAACAGAACATAATAATGTAGGAGAGGACTCTCTTATGCAGAAGTAGTATTAGCCAATGCTTTTTACAAAAACATGAAAATAAGCTCCATGGTTTAGCCAAAAAAAGACTTGTATGTAGCTTTGCCAAGATTATAAGATAGAGGGCCCAACAACATGGCAAAACTGAAGTGACATACACTAAAAAATGAGTGGTTTGTGGACATCATGAGATAACTTACTAAGTTAATAGTCAAAAACCCTTTAGCCCAAATACTTCAGAATCTTTAGAGTGGGTTGAAATCCAGATGTGAATTTCAAGACACATTTCACCAACTGGGTAGCTCAATTTCTAGATTCCCAGAAGGATTTAAAAAGAAGCAACAGTAAATAGATACAAACAAAAAATACCAGTTTGACACAGTTAACAAAAACAGTAATAAAATAACTAGACTGAAGTAGAAATGACTGAATTATGAAGAACAAACCAGTACAATTTAGTCATTTTCCCATTTGCTGTTCATGCACAAACAGAAACAGAGTTTTACTAATTCCATTTATTATAATAATTTGAATAGTACAAAAAAACTTCAGTCATACAAATAAATGCTCAGGACTGGTGAATAAAAAGAGGTACAAGCACAGTGAGGGTGACATGTCATTACAAGTATCAGCTTTGGTAAAAATCCTTTTTTTTTTTTGTTTTAGGGAGGGCAGATAGGAATTCTTATAGTAAACAGTGTCTTACACTTTTCAGTACAAAACAGTGACTTAAACTACTTAGAAATCTGCTAAACATTTTAGGTTTCCATGCCACTTTCCAGTTTCCGACATCTTTTTAGAGGGATGGAGACCAGGGGAAGGGGGAATTTTAATTAAGCTAATTTAGCCATTTTCAGGAAAGAGTTTAAAGAGAATACATTGTTTTGCCTATATTAAAAAGAATTCCCCAATCTGTTACAAAGCAGTGCCTTGAGGTAGTAACTTGAAATTTAGCAAATATGTTGAATGTACCATTTGTGGTCCCTACAAAGGTTTGCCCAAATTACAGACCTCTGCAAAAGTGTTCACATTCTCAGAGGTATATTTTGGCACCTGAATTTGCTAAAGACTCTTTCTGCACTGAGCACCCTCTATCTTAGAGTTGCAGCAGCTAGCCAGGACATTTCTTGCAATATTCCTTCAAGCTGCTGTTGAAGCATCAGTGTGGGTAACTCGGAGCTTCTCTCTCGTGCACTCTGTGTGGAGGTAGGGATAATGAGCAAGTACAATGTGGGGAAAAAAATCACACATGGACTGGAGCTGTGAAAAAGTGTATGTAATAGCATTATTTAGAACTGTATTATAAAGAGCGAGGCATTTGACTTAAAATTGCACAGGTTATCTTCTTCTCAATATTGGCATTTTCTAATTTTTATGTGCCTGACACAAAATGACACAACCTTAACCTTCTCTTTCAGAATGTAATTCCACATAAAGTCACAGAGAGTGCAGAGTGGAATTACTATTGAAAATACCTAGAGAGGCTAGAATAATAGTATTTAGGACATGGGAGATATCTACAGTGCTTATGATTGCTACTAATTACATATAATATGGCTACTGTGACAATCCCATTGTGGAAGTAGTCCATAGGCATTGACTCAGTGCTGGTTGGAGGATCAGTGTGTGAGCTCTCACATGTTATTATGTGTTATTAGCTATAATTAGGTGCCTATGCACTGACTAATCATTTGTGGGTTTTTTTAAAAACTAATATTTCTAAGCCCATAAATAAAGTTATCTACACATTAACCACTGGTCAATGCTAGTCTCCTATTTTAAGCTTCCCCATTGTCTGTACAAAGCCTAAAAATATTCTAATGGCCATAAATTTAAAAATCAAAATTAATAACTATGTCACTTCTAATTCTTTTAGCAAAACTTCCAGAGGATGGTTTTCCCCAATTCCAAACCACCTATGTCTTACCAAATACCAAGGCGCCCCTTTAACCAAATGCTAAAATATATCAGTCTTCTCCTCTGATAACTTCTACAAGACAGATTTTCAGCACAGTGAAGACTGAAAGTTTTTGAGAAGTGTAAAATGAACTGAAGCCAAATTAAATACTACAGGGAATATTGGAGTTATCACAGTGTTTTCATATTCCGTTAAATAAAATCTTCCATAATTTTATATTACCTGAACCTGCAGCAGGTTTGCCAGCCTGCACTGGAGCACCAAAGAAAGCGGGAAATATTCAAATGTCACAAATGTTAGATCTTGTTTCCTCATGAAAACATAGGGTCTTGGCTGTCACAAAGCCAAAATAATTTATAATAAGTAAATAGACCTTTGTTGTTTACTTTCTGTGAATCAGTTCTTGTTAAAACACAAAGGGATTTATCCAGAAACTTTATTTCACATTAACAGAAATAACAAGTTGCCCAGAAGTTGTAGAAGCCACTTAGACAAAATAATGCAACATACCAAAGCCTCTAGCTAGTTGGTCTGAAAAGCTGCCTTAATCAAGATGACTGGAAGCCACATGCTGCCATTACACAGGACAGCTGTGAATGGAGGGTATTAGCAAGCTGCTGCCCATATGGGAGGTGCTGTGATGAGCCATTACTGAAGGATAGAAGAAGCTGCTTTAGATTCAGCTAATAGGGCATCAACATCTCTACATTCAGCTGTGACTACATCCCTTGTTTGTTTGAATATAATAAGCACCCTAATAATAGCAGTCATGCATTTATGTTATTTCCTTTTACTGTCAAAATTAAGACATGTAAGCAGATGGTGTGTAGACTCAAGTCTAGTTTTGCATCCTATTGTTGGACAGATGTATTGGGAATGGCAGTTTATCATAATGATAAAAAATAGAAGAATCTACAGATGACAAAAATATTAAAATCTGAGGGTCTAAGACTCTTTGGAACCATCCCAGGGGTGCTCCCGGGCCTCAAATCTCTTGGTGTGATAGGAGCGGAGTATGTACATCTTCCTCCAGAATGCTACTTTAGGGCTATAGACCTCTCATAATTCACTCCTATTAACCCACTAGTTTTGAGTTAGTTCAGCACCTGCAAATATGTTGTCACTTTGGGCCAAAGACAGTGTCAACCACCTGGCTGTGACAAAGCACAGGACATTTTATTTTAGGACAAATGCATTATAGAGAAAACAACAGTAAACAGTCTACATGCATACTGAATTTACTAGGGTTTATCTATCATCAGTGTTGGATCTTGGCTGATACTGTATGTAATTTGTCAGTTCTTTCTTCCCATGAGCTTGACCTCCTCTCATATCTGTAGGTCACTTTATACAGGGTGAACGCCTTTCTTTGCTAGGTCTCTTGAACCAGGTGAGTCAGTCATATTTTCCACATGGGACAAACCTGAAAAATACAATCTGTATTGGGAATCTGTATTAATTAACTTCTCTCAGGGATTCCATAAGAAACCTGCCCAGTGCCCAGGGAGTTAGGAAAACAAGACACATAAATTGCCTGTTGATACACTAGTTCAGGTCTGCCCAATTTCTGAGTGGTCAGGGGCCATAGGCCCCCCAGCCACATGCTATGGGGGCTGCTCACAGCACTGTATAGCTCCCACCCATGCTGTATCGCATCAATCCCTGATGCACCACATGCACTCCCTTAGCCACACTACCTCACCTCCATGCACTGCACAAGCTTCATGAGCCATGCACACATCCCCAATATGGTGAGCCTCCCAAGCCACATGGCCTCCCACTGGGCCAGGTGAGCTAAGCCACATGCCCCACGCCCTGCACCATGCAGATGTGCTGCCTGCCCCCCTGCCCTGCACTGCAGTGGCGCCTCTGCATTCATGGGGTACAAGCTCCCTCTGACCTCCCTAGCCACAAGCTCTCTCAGCCTCACAGGCTCCCCACAGGGGCAGGGGCACATAGTGGAAGCCAAAGGAGGACTCCAGCCACAGCAACTGGAGAGCAAAAGGGAGACTGGCACCCTAACCCATTGGGAGCCACATTCAGCCTATGGGCCACCAGTTACACAGCACAGCAGTAGTCTATGAAGATCCCATGCACCTGCAGCATTTATCACACCACAGTAGAACAGTTTTTATGGTTTCCATCCTTCTACAACTTAATATCTATCACAAATGTATTGTCGTTGAAAAAATATCAGGCATTTTTTGTTTAGGTGCCTAAATATGGACCTAACTTTAAGCACGGAGGATTGAAAATCTTGACCTGTTAGCTTGGCTACATATGTAGGCCAACATACGTATGTAGGCTATCAAAGCTATTTGTCTGTGTCTTTTACCCTAACCCGTAAACATTGCTGCTTCTCTTAGGTGCTGTGCATGCTGTACAATCTCATTGTGAAATTCTTGGTTGACCTGATTACAGCAAATATGATTCATTACCCCAAAAAACAGTCATTCAGCAGGTTTTTTAATAACACAACCATGTCGGAAACATTAGTGTTCACATCAGCGAGGCTGCCCAATCATAATTGTAGGAGTACATTCAGCAAAAAATCTGGATAGTTCTTTTATACTTCTTTAGTAGGGAATGGAGTAGACAGAGGCCAAGGGAACAGAAAAGCCATCCTATACACAGGAACCTGGAAAAAAGGAAGAAAGAAATCAATCAACTCACATAGCTATGGCTAGGCATGCCAGGAGTATGATAAACATTGTTAATTGGAATTATTTCTTTTGCTACTAAGTGCAAAGTCTCATTACCTGAATTACAGGCATATTTGTGGGTTGGCTACCGATTAAAGGAAGCAGGTGACAGGTCTACAGCCCAACCTTTTGTTGTTTTGTTGTTTATACACAAAATCCCTGTGCCTATGGGGCTGCCCATTAAAGTAGACCACAAGTTTCTACTTCTGCACTCTCTGGGGAGGACCAACATGGGAGAAGATGGGATCATGCCAGCTGCAGGTCCTTTCTAAGGGTTCCTTTGCTCCTCTACTTTTCCCTCTCTTTATTCATATTAATACATGTATATATATTCTAATATTATAAAAGCCTTAGTCTGTCTGTCTCTAATGCTTTATTCGCACTCTGGTTGCCTCAGCAGCCAATCAGAGTGCTCTGGACAGACAGAGATACATGGCAGAGTACTGCCATGACAGTGGGGACTGAAGGGCTGGAGTGGGGGTGGCCTTGCCCCCCCTGCCCTGCTCCTTGGAGGCAGAGGGAGACAATGGGGACCAGAGCGCCACCATGACAGAGGTGGCGGAGGCGCAGTGTACTGGCTGTGCAGCACTGGCCTCACCCCGCCCCACACGATGGAGTGCCGCCATAACAGTGAGGACCGGGGCCGGAGCTGGGCACCCCCTGAGAGTGCCGGTGCACCCCCTGATTGGCTGCGCTCGCTGCTAAGGCAATGGGCAGGGGGGGCAGCCTGGTGTGCTGGTGCTCCCCCTGCAAGTGCTGGCCAATTGCTGCAGCACTTTCTGGGAGCGGCTGCTTCTCAGAGCAGCTGCAGCGATTGGCCGGCGGTTGCTTCCTGTGCCCCCAGCCATTCCCAAAAGTGGCTGCAACAATCACAGCAGTGGGCCGCAGTGATCAGCCGTCACAGGATCAATCTCCCCCCCCAGTCTGCAGGATTGGTCACGGGGGGGACCTCCCCCACCTGGTTGTTGGGACTGGTCACAGGGGAGGCATGTGCCCCACACGACTAAGGCAGCACTAGTCGCCCATGATCTCACAAGGTCCCTTCCAGCCCCTAATATCTATGAAATCTATGAAAAGTCACACAAGGTGGTCTTTCAGAGCTAGGTGCAGGAGGGGAAGGCAGATGGGGAGAGGGATATCAGTAGCTCTTGCTCCAGTGCTGAGTGTATAGCACATATCTGATACACAATGTGTCAAGCAGGCTATTACCATAACTGCTCCACAACTGACGGTGAAAGGAGAGGAACCCACAGCACAGAAAGACAGAATGATCTCTGTTATGGACTAACCTTCATAAGGAAATGACAGGGCTTAATTGCTCAGTTGAACCAAGGTGGTCTGCATGCACCCACACTCACCATGGAATGAGGGTGTGGACAGTAGATTGCTATGAGGCTCAGTCTGGCGTTCCCGCTCCCTTCCCAGGAACACATGCTGGTAGTGTTTTCAGCCCCTTGCCAACCTCCTGTACTCTTGCTTGATACCTGTGGTATAGAGGTAAACAAAAGTAAAGGCTTGGGCTTCCCACCTTGGCACAAGAAAACTTACTATGTGAAGGCAGGGAAGGGCTTCTGTATGTTCCCTTATACTGATTGTGTCCATGGGGCTGGGACAAGGTCAACATCATGAGAAGCAATGCAGGCAGCACTGGAGAGCTTGGGCTGCAAACCCTTTGTTATTAGAGGTGGTGGGGAAGTTGCAGACTGGAGACACCCAGAGAACTGGGGCTGGTCACTGTCCAACTCAGAGTCTATCTCCATGTCCATGCCACTGTCCTGGAGAGGCAGAGAGTTCTTAACCTGGCTCAATTCCATGGTCATCTCTAAGGTCACCATGGGGGTATATGGCTGAGTGAGACCCACAGTGATGGTGTTATCCATGTTTATATCTGTGTTCTGGAAGATGAGCATCATGCTCTCCATGTGCTGGCATACACCATGTCATTTACCATGGAGGACAGCTCCTCATTGTATGCGCACATCCCCATGTACATTGGACACATGGTTGGCATCATAGGCCTTCATGAACCACTATCTCAGCATCTTGTATTTTGAGTGGCACTGATGCCAATTGTGCTTGTGCCCATGGGCTGCCATTTTCATGGCAATCCACTGCTTGGTTGCAGTGGCTGGAACAGAGTGCCTTCTGGTTTTCCCCCTCCCCGTTATCAGGTCCACTATTTCATCTCAGTTTCAGTTGGTGCTACACTGGCAGACAGTGGTGGGAGTAATCGGTGAGGTCATGGCTTGAGCTCAGGATGTCCTCATAGGATGAGTGGCATTCACAACCAGTTCTGATGTTGACCTTGACCACATAGATGGTAGGCATAAGTGTCCCACAAGTCAATGTGGAGAGCAATCAAGGGTTAGGCCAACTATGACTTATAGCCTAAAATAATGGCACAGATGCATCCATGATGTCACGGGAAAAAGTAATTGAACATTTTATCCGGCATTCTTCAATGGGAGTTGACCTGGGACAGTGGAAAGGTATGACTATAAATATGCAGTTAAGTGCAGGATGAAACCTCTCTCCCAGGAGAAACGTAATGTCCATTTACAGTCTAAGAGTCAGGATTTCTTATATCTTTCCTCACTTGCCCAGAAAGTCTTCTCATTATTTTTCTGCTTTTCTTTCCTTATTTCATGGTTGCACTAGCAAAGCCCACCATTGTTTTACCTCTAAAGTTTTTTTACAGTTTATATATTGCTATGTTTTCATAACCAAATTACATAAGGTTACATAACTTATTAATAATTTTCAATGTAACTAAAGATATAGCATGCACATATACACCCTGTATACCATTGTGCCTGTTTACTAATAGTCTATTACTAATTAAACCTTAGGTTAAAACCTTCTGGCAAGCTGTTTCCTGTTGTGATTTCTTACTTAAGTTAAATTCCAGGACTTATTAGTGGTTTTGCTTGGAATTTTGTTTACTTTAAACCTTTTGCTAAAATACCAAATGCAACACTTACAAAGTTACTGTAGTAAAACATATTGTCTTATTACCTTATAACCTGATACCATTTTTTGCTGAAGCACTTGGTATTTTCCAGTTCACAACAAAGGATAAGTCATACGAGGAAGGTGTGTGGTTAAAACTAATAAAAAAAATAAGTGCCAGATGTGCTTATAGTAGGATATAACTTCACCAAATAATAGTTGACATTGCATAGATGGCATCATTTGAAACTGATTTAGTTGCAGGAATTAAGGTAAAACAAGAGCCTTGTCATTAGGATGCCACAAATAACACATCAGATGGCACACTAAGATATATACTTCCTACCAATCAGCTGTGTTGCTTTCTCAGTAATTGTTAGCATTCTGCATTTCTTATCTCTAGAAAAACACAGTGTTTTACTCTTTCATAACTTCCCTGTGGAGTTGTTGGATTTGGATTTAGGACCCAGATGCCTTGTTTTGGAGGAATGGGGTGGAGCCAGGGCGCAGGCTTCACTTTGAGGCTTATTCTAAGGTGTCAGATGTTAGAATGGCAGCAACCTGGAGGTGGGATGCCAAGGCCCACACCCCGCTCCAGTGGGCAGATAAGATGGGCTGGTGATGTGTCTTTTGTCCATGGTGGCCTCGGGGACCATTCCTGGAGGACAGGGATGGGGACAGGGACCCTCTCAGGGAGGAGGACGGGGAGGAACCCTTTGTTACTTTGAAGTCTCTGTTTTTGTATTCTCCATCCCTCATGATGACTCATGATGACTTTTGATCTGTGTCTATCACTGGTTGGTCTCTCTGTGTGGTCACACATTCACGTAACTTTCTGGGCCTTTCTCTAATTTGGTCTGTTCCCGGAAAACCGGGACTCAGACCTCCCCCCCTGCTTTGGGGCCTTGTTAGCTGGTACCCCTTTATTTGATGTTATGGGACAGTATGGTACATGCCCCTAGTTTCCAGACTGTTTTCCAGACTATGTGTCCTTGTTGGCCTTGTTGTGTTAGACAGCCTGTCTGCTTTCAAGGCTGTGACTATGTGACTGTGTGACTCAGAGTCTTAGAAATCAGTTAACCCCTCCTGCCCATCCTGAACCATTTTAATCCATATATGTATACCTATAATCCAATTTCCAAAAAACAAACTTTTAAATATCATTTCATAGATTTCATAGACATTAGGGCTGGAAGGGACCTCGGAAGATCATCGAGTCCAGCCCCCTGCCCCAGGGGCAGGAAGTCAGTTAGGGTCAAAGGATCCCAGCAAGATAGGCGTCCAAATGTTTCTTAAGAGTCCAGAGTAGGTGCTTGCACCACCTCTGGAGGCAATCTATTCCAGGCCTTTGGGACTTGGATAGTAAAGAAGTTTTTCCTTATGTTCAGCCTGAAATGGTCTTGGAGGAGTTTATGACCGCCTGACCTTGTCATCCCTTGGGGCGCTCTGGTGAACAGGTGTTCCCCCAGATCCTGATGTAAAACCCTTATAAACTTATAGGCAGTCACTAGGTCACCCCTGAGCCTGCACTTTTCCTGGCTGAAGAGTCCCATGGCTCTCAGCCTCTCATCACAGGGCCTGTTCTCGTGCCCTCTGATCATGTGCATGGCTCTCCTCTGGACTCTCTCAAGCTTTTCCACATCCTTTTTCAATTGTGGATCCCAGAATTGGACGCAGTACTCCAGCTGCGGCCTCACCAAGGTCGAGTACAGCAGGAGGATGACATCCTGAGATTTGCTTGAGAAGCATCTATGGATGCAAGCCAGAGTTTTGCTCGCTTTACCGGCTGCAACATTGCATTGGTAGCTTATGTTTATCTTGTGGTCAATCATGACCCCAAAGTCCCTTTCGGCTTTGGTGCTAGCAAGCGTAGCACTGCCAAGCCTATAAGTGTGATGCGGGGTTTTTTTCCCTAGGTGGAGTACCTTGCATTTTTCAGTATTGAATGTCATCAGGTTTTCATCCACCCATTTTCTGAGCCTGTCAAGGTTGGCCTGGATCACCAGCCTATCCTGAGGAGTGGACACTTTATCCCAAAGTTTGGTGTCATCGGTGAACTTGGCCAGTCCGCTTCTGACACCAATGTCCACACTGTTAATAAAGATGTTAAAAAGTATAAGTCCAAGGACAGAGCCTTGGGGGACCCCACCGGTTGTGGAGCACCATGATGATTTACTTCCATCGATTATCACTCTCTGGGTCTGACCTCGGAGCCAATTCACCAGCTATCAGACTGTGATGTAGCCGAGGCTGCAGTTGGCCAATTTTTCCATGAGGAAATCATGGGACACCAAATCAAAGGCTTTTTTAAAGTCAAGATATATGACATCAATCTCTTCTCTTTTGTCCAAGTGATATGCCACCTGGTCATAGAAGGACACACAATTCTAAGCCAACAGAGTAAGGCTAAGATGTATAAAATAGATAAATGGGGAAAATGGTTTTATAATTAAGACATTGGACTAGGATCTAAGAGACCATGATTAACATGGATTTCACATGTGAACTCAGGCTGATGGTAACTTCTGCTGTTGGCACTTTTTTGCAGCTGCAAACCCCAATGATCTGACTTGGATTTAGGGTGGGCCAGTACAAGTGTTATTAAAATAGACTTTTTGCCTATTGCTTTTAATTTTATGTATTTTCTTGAGTTTTGCATTGCCTTAAGAAACTCCATTTTGTATTGTTCTGTAGCATGACATAAGTGCTCAACCTTTTACTCTTTTGTATGCTGTATGGGTGAGAGCGTGTTTGTGGAAAAGGAAAACATCAGCTGGTGACTGGCTGAAGAATGAAGACAGATAAAAGACCAAACAAGAAGAATTCACCCCAGAATAGTGAGAGAACAACGGCAATTGACCTTCAAGAAAGAACACAGTGATAACCCAGCAAAAGCCCAGAGGACTGGGTGAGTTGACAAGGCTGTAAAAGATAGGGTAAGACGTATCAATTTTGGGTCTTGTTCTGCATGTCATCCTGGAGCATCGGTTCGTCTAACAAGATGGACCGGCAGAAGCCCATCTCCTACTCGTGATCAACTTAGCTGGCCACTAAGTTGAACCGAGCACTGATAAGACTGGTAATGTATACCAGCGCAGAACAGAAATTGGGGTATGAATGTGGTGTGTGTGTGCATTAAGCGCTTAATCAATAAATGTGGCATCTTGCCTTCTCTTCCCTCATAAGGTCTCACTCGCGATTTGAGCAATTGGCAATTTGTGTAGCACAAGGACCTGGCCCTCGCTGCTGCTTCTCACTGCTACCCAGGGTCAGCATGGATGAAGCCTCCCCACTCCCCTGCTGCCAAAGCCATGCATCACCCAGCCACTGTGTGGTGTGACCAAAGTCCTTGCCCACTGAACGCCCATGCCACCTGGCTCTTACACTATCTACACTTATATTTTCCAGTCTCTTCTACTACTCTTGATCTTTTGAAGAAAAAAATTCAGGACAAGGGCCTTGTAACTAATTCTATGCTCTTAGATGGTGCTTCGAGGCACAACTGGAATACAAAAAGGCTGGCTCCTAAGTTCTTATTTAGATTTCCCAAAAAGCAATCTGATTTTTCTAACTCAAAAAATATTAAACTCTGTGGAAGGTGTTGGATACTCTGCAGGTTTGGAAAATCAAGTCAATTATGTGGATCACAAAACATTATGAACGTTAGGTGTTCTTGGAAATACTTGCATAACTATGTGCATCAACACATATTTATAGACCATTATTAATAGTATGGACCTGGTATTGAAGAAAATTCATAAATTTCAGTGATTAAGGAACCAATAATGATGTCAATAATAAATAAACTGAAGATAGCTTGGTTGCATGATATAATATGTATGCAATTCTAAGTTGCTCAATATCATAGTATGAGAGTCATATGAGTTAACCATGCTAACGTCACTTTGCTGACTGTTGCGTGTGAAGTATTTATAGACATGAACATTCATGAACACTTTATCCTAGGTAGACAATTAAATATTCTGGAGGATTTTTCTAATGCTGGGTGTGTCTGTCTGTGTTATATACCACACACACACGCACACACACACATATACATAGGTGCAGATGCTGGTAACAAGACACAGTTAATATAAACAACATGTATTAGAGCAATAGTGGTGAAATATGGCTTGATAATATGCTACATGTGCACCCACACAAGTTTGCCTTAAATGGAAAACAATTGAAATTTTATATGAAGGTAGAAAGACCTATCTAATGGAAACTTTGGTATAGGCCTGCTGAATGTGAGGTGGAAAAAACAGGTCACAAAACAAAAATAACTAATATTAATTTTTGTATGGGAACTAGTGCCTACCTTGGATAGTCTGATGGCCTATGTGGGCACGTCCAGATGAGCCTGCACGGCCTCTTGTTGCATCTCAAAGCAGTTTGAGACACGACAAGAGGCAAGCTGGAACAAAATAATGTTCCCTACGCTGCATATTTGCAGCGGGCGTTCGAAATTTGATACCTGAATATCCAGGTATCAAAAAACAAAAATCCACAGAAAAAAAGCACGGCAGGGCATGGTCCAGGACCGTGTCCTGAGGCAGCCGGAGGTTTGGGTCCTCCAAAGAGATACACTGGTAGCCAGCCAGAGCATCTCTATGGCTGTCCCTTGGGTGGGTCAGGAGTGAGGGGCCTTGGGTGAGGGGCAGGCTGTGGATTGAGAGTGAGGGGCAAGGGCAGGGGCAGAGCACTGGCATATCAGTGCTGTTCAGCACTGCACATCCCGGTGAGCGAAGGGTGTAGGGCCAGCTCTGATTTTTCTATGACAAAAAAGCCAAAAGTAAATGCCAAAGTGTATAGATATTTAGAATCTATTTTATTATGACAAGAGGCACTGGTAGGCTATAGCCCCCCAACAGAGCCAAAGTCCCCCAACACGTGCCCACAGCCCCTCAACAGGGCCCACATGCCTCCTGCAGGGGCTATCTCCCCCTCCCCTACAGGGCCTACGTGCCCCCATCTGGCCCCAGCCCCTGCTCCCTCCCCCAGCCCTCCCAATCATTTCCTCACCCAGTCCCAGCCCTCAGTCACTGCCCTGCCCAGCCCCAGCATCCCTGCACTCACTGGCTGCAGCAGAGGCTGTCAGGGCTGCTGGAACCTCATGGCACAGCCCCACCATGCAGCGCGAGTGCAGGGTGCCGCC